AGATCTGGAGAGAAAGTACTGGAAGAGCTGCCTCTATGACTCACCAATTTATGGTGCTGACATCAGTGGCTCCTTATTTGATGAGAACACTAAAGAGTGGAACCTGGGACACCTGGGAACCATTCTGGACCTTTTGGAGCAGGAATGTGGAGTTGTCATTGAGGGTGTCAACATGCCCTACCTGAACTTTGGCATGTGGAAGGCCACTTTTGCGTGGCACACAGAGGACATGGACCTTTACAGCATCAACTACTTGCACTTTGGGGAGCCCAAAACGTGGTACGCGGTGCCCACTAAACACGGGCAGCGCCTGGAGTGCCTGGCCAGGGAGCTTTTCCCAGCCAGTTCCCAGGGTTGTGAGGCCTTCCTGAGGCACAAGGTGGCCCTCATCTCGCCCACAGTCCTCCATGAGAATGGCATTCCCTTCAATCGCGTGACTCAGGAGGCTGGTGAGTTCATGGTGACATTTCCCTATGGCTACCATGCTGGCTTCAACCATGGCTTCAATTGTGCGGAGGCCATCAATTTTGCCACTCCGAGGTGGATTGATTATGGCAAAGTGGCGTCTCAGTGCAGCTGTGGGGAAGCCAGGGTCAGCTTCTCCATGGACCCCTTTGTGCGCATCCTGCAACCCGAGCGCTATGAGCTGTGGAAATGTGGACATGACGGGGCGGTAATGGACAACACGGAACTCATTTTGTGTGTCAAACAGAACTGATCACCTGGGTTCATCAGAGACTTGATCCACTTGACCCTCTCCTGGGTCTGTATGGAGACGGATGCGGGGGGATGGCTGTAGCCTAGGGCTTGGGGCTTGTCCTTGCCCCCACTCCCTTCTCTGCCCACGCGTCCAGAAGTACCAGGTACAGAAGCCTGTCTTTGTGGCCTACAGAAGTGCTTGCTGCCCAGCCCAGAGATGCTGCTCCCAGAGTTCCCAAGAACCCCCCACCTCTGTCCCCCATGGTCATTCTTGAGTCTGCATGGCCCAGTCCTTCTCCCATTACCTGGCAATGTGTGAGCGGTGGGTGACTTTGGAAAACTTTAAACTCAGAAGCTGACTCTAGACTTCACCCAAGAGGTTCCTATTGGTGGGCACAAAGAGCATAGTTCTGGGCTCCTCAGCTCAACCCCTGTCTGAGGAGGGTGGCTTGTTGCACATGCCTGCACTTCTGAGCCCTGATGGCAGCATCATGGAAGGGCTTCTGGCTGCTCCTGTGCCTCCATTTTAAAATCTTGGGGACTTCTGGATGCTGATAATCTGATGCACCCTTGCAAGTAATTGCTGTCCCTGGACAACAGCATGGGAAATCTCCCTGGCAGTGTCTGACTAACTGTTCCCAATATTCTAACCTTAGAGATTTTCCAAGCAGTGCTGGTGGGAACCGCACCCCCACCCTGAACCTAATTAAGGTTGTAGCAATGGATCATTTATGCCTATAGAATACTGTCCCCAAATGAAGTTTCCAGTGTCTGTGGTACCCCTTTCTGATATACTGGGGTTAAAGCTAGATGGACTTGCATCTATGAATTCTGAATTATTTGCCATCAATCAATGGCCTGAAACTTCTGTCTGTGGCTATTGGATATGCTGCCAAATGTGGCTGTGCCTCTTCCCTCAATCCTCAGAACCATAGAAGTTCCCAACCAAGTGATAATTTTGGCCTAGGCCTGTCCCTAGTAATAATGACATAACAAAGTGAGGAAATAACAATAAGAAAATAACAATTTGGAGCCATGAATAATCTGGCAACAATGGAATTGTATTGAGGCTGATTGAATAAAATTGTTCTTTCATTCATATCTCTCTCCACTAGTATTTCTTGACTGAATGATCAATAAATAAATATTTCATTTCCTTGGTGCAGAAACACCTGAATCCAGTATTTAGTTCTTGAATGATACTTTATAATCTTACTGGAATATCTCAAGTTAGAATTGGTGGTGGTTCGTGACAGACTGTAGCCCATGTTTTGTTGTTATTGTAATTAATGTTTTTTAGGATAGTGTTTTCATATATGTAGCTCTCAACTTTATCTATATCCAGAGCAGACCCTGGGACTTAGGCGTTTTGTGCTTATCAACAGTACCACATCATCTGTGGAAAGGGGTGTTCAGAATCTAAGTTTTACAATAATGGCATTTTTTTCTAGTCATGAAAAAACTTAAAAATATTTTTACAAAAAATAAATCTTCATCAAATCCAAAGGCTCACACATGGTAGGCCTAAGAAAGGGAAAATCAGTTATGGCCATGACATTGTGGTAGCTTTTCCTGTGCAGCAGGTGAGAAAGGAAGGGGCAGTTCATTTCTAGATAACTGGGTGGAGAAATGCTGGAGGTGGGGCCAATTTGAGGGGGAAGATCAGATACAGTCATAGCTAAAGTTTGATGTGGAAGGAAAATGTTAGACAAACTGCTTGCACATATGACAAAAATACAGCATGAAAATCAGTAGCTCCTTATATAATAGAAACTTTGAAATCTGGGAGCAATTTTGGACCTGTTGGGCATAGTACCTAGTCAAGAACTTCCAATGGAGAGTTGTCATTTCCTCAAATGGAGAATTATTGTTTGCTGAATACAGCATAGATTTGCTTCAGATCCCCAGACTAGTGGTTCTCAAACTTAAATATGCATTTCAATCACGTGGGGATGTATCACACTGCAGATTTCAATTATGAAATTTGAGCTGGGATCTGAGGTTCTATGTGTTCAAAAAAACCCTAGGTATTATCAATACTGCTGATCATAGATCATTATTTGAGTAGCAAATAATATAGAAGACTCCAGTGCAGTGGTGCGGTGCATGCCTATAATGCCAGAGGCCATGAGTTCAAAGCCAACCTCAGCAAAAGCAAGGCACTAAGCAACTCAGTGAGAACCTGTCTCTAAATGAAATACAAAATAGGGCTGGGGATGTGGCTTAGTGGTCAAGTGCCCGTGAGTTCAATCCTTGGCACCCCCCCCACACACACACCCAATTAAAAAAAAATGTAAAAGATTTCATTGCGATTCTCCTATGAAAATTTGACAGCCTTCATCAGTGATTCTTGAAATGTGGTTCCCTTTCCCAGAGTCTCAGTATCATCTGGAACTTGTTAAAAAAGCCTGTCTGGGGTCGCACCTTCCAGACCTACTGAATGAGGAGCTAGGGTAGGACTCAGCACTCCAATTTAACTAGTTCTCTGGATGGTTTTGTTCTCACATGAATTTGGCAACCACTGGAATCCATAAGTTGATGGTTCTAAACCAAGTAATATAATCTCTAGAAAGGGAACCTAGGCATCAACAATGTATATATTTTAAGTTCCAATGCACAAGGGACTCAGATGATTCCAGTGTTCAGTAAAGGATCATTGCCACAGAGCACCCACAGGTGCTGTGAACACAACTGAATCAGCAGAATTTTAAGGGACATGTGTCAAAGCTGCTTTTGTTACAATCCTGATCTGGTGGGAAGTTTTTATTGTTCTGGGCCCAATGTGAAACAGCTTTTTGTTCACCAGGTATATTGTATATGTTGCCTCCAAATTTCTAAAAGACACCTAAAGTTCTGTATCTCTTTCTTAGTATTTTGAAGTCTCAGGGCTCATCCATACATCCTTCACTTTGAAGGAGATACCCAAATGCAGGCCATTCCACTAGATTTAAAAGAACTCCACTGAGTTACACATGTGTACTATCAAATCACCAAGAATATTTACTACGTTGTTTTTCCTGGTCCTATGAGAAGGATGTAACCAATAAAATAAATAAATACCTGTGTTTTGGTAAGTTGGTGAAGATTCCATGTGACTAGGTAGTAGCTCAAATCCATAAAGAATAATACTTATGTTATATAAGTAATGTATTTTATCATCTTTCTAGATCAGTGTTCCTTGTGTATTAGAATAAAGAAAAATATTATGCAGATTCATGTGTAGACTGTGCAGTGATCTCTAAGAATAGAGCATTTTGGGCCTGAAAAGAATTAGATTTGCCATCAGACCAAGTTAAAAATCCTAGCTTTATCAAAGCTTATATGGTTATTGGAAATTGAGCAAATCCATTCAATATCTCTGAGTCTCAGTGTTCTTATCTCTAAAATACAAACAATACACTCACATCAGGGGCTACATAAGGACAATATTAGCTAATCCATGTAAATCATTTTTAACAGTGCCTACCACATACTAAGGGCTCAATTACCCCTTTATCTTATTTGTCATTTTAGAGACCACCAGGGAATATGGGTTTTGCATGGCCTTTGGAAAAGTCTGGGACAGAATAAGGAAGAGTTTAGGTAAGTACCCTTAGGAGAATAAAAATAGAGGAGCAGGTCAAAAGACAATTTGTCATTCCCCCTAAGGAGGGAGTCAGAAGTTAGGTCAAGGAGAATAAGGGTTTTATAAAGTGTGTGTGTGTGTGTGTGTGTGTGTGTGTGAGAGAGAGAGAGAGAGAGAGAGAGAATTGGCAATGCCTTCTCTTGCAACAACGAGGAATTAAAATTGTTCTGTTTGGATTGACAAATTGGGGGTAAGGTTTATGTCCTTCTCCAACCAGGATGAAGATAGCAGAATGGGATGAGTGTAGGTACCGAGAGGAAAAACATTGACTGAGTTCCTTGGGTAGACGACAGAGAAGAAATGAGAGTTGGGGAAACCTGCCTGGGTCTGAGGGGCCTGGTAACTCTGCTATAACAAAGTCCCTGTGCTGTTCCTCATTGAGTGCTGGAGAGGATGTTCAGAGAGTGCCGCCTTTGCTTTACAGAAGAGGCAGAGCATTGAGGTGAGGCTTTGGATGTCTGCAGAGGTGCCCATCATAGGGGTTGCATGGAGGTAGTGCTGCCTGCCTCCTGGTGGGGCTTCTGCTGTAAGATGGACTTCAGGACAATTGATGGACATCATTTAGGGACCTGAGACTTGCTGTTGATCTAGGAGGACAATTAGTTCTGTCAGTGGTAATCAAGGAGTGGAGAAAACTCTGTGGTAACCAGAGTTACATGAACCTTTTATAGCATTTGAGATTAACCCGTTAAAAAGATTTAAATAACCATAGTGAAGGGCACTCTGAAAAGACTTCATACTGCTGCCATAAATGGAAGCATGATTAAGCCCTAGTCCTGAAATCGTGTAGCTTTCTACCCTGAGTTCTCCACTGCTTTGTCTCTGTCACTCTGTATTTTGGCATATTCTCACTGCAACCTCCCATCAGTAAATGGTGTTGAGAGGCCTGCTCTGGATAGACGTGGTGGCTGTGATGTACAGAGCCAGATTCCCCCAGGGCCTCGGTCACTCCCTGCATCGTCACCTGGCTGTCAGGCAACCTTCCCTGGCATGCCTTCAGAGCTGCAGAGGGTTTCCTTCCTCCTCGCCAAAGAGGTGGTGACTCCCAGGAAAGTTTGACTGCTTGTCCATTACCAGTGACCTTGTATCATTGGTATGAGAAATTCCAGGAGGGCAATATCTCCGTGTGGCAATAATGGTTCTCAGTCCATTCCTTCCCCACCACCTTCTCCACAGCCTCTTATTTTTCTTTGAATGGTGACGTAAATAAATGATGAACCGTCGATGTGGTGTATACCTTCCTTTCCACAAATAGCCCATTCTCAGGTCAGGTATGAATCACGAGTGCACAGTTGAGCCTGCAGCGTGATGTGTTTAGTGGAGCAGAACTTTCCCTCCGTCACTGTTGTCACCTTTCCAGCAGTTAGGGAGGAAAGCTGGGTGGAGTCAGGTTG